CTGTCAATTTCATACACCTCAACCTAAGTAAAATGGCTAACAGTGTAGAAAGAGAGAGACATGCACCAAGCTAGACTAAGGAGAAGGGGACTATCCTCATGCCATAAATTGCTGGCATTTCTGGCAGATACTGCATAGATGAAACTAAAACTATTCAAGTACTGACTTGCCATTGCCCTACAAGAACAATCAACATGGAGTCACAAATCATAAAAAGAAAGGACTCGGAGGGATTTAGGCAACAGCCCCTCATCTGGAGGTCCAAGGACTGAAGCAAAGCTATATCTTGGGACAGATGCTAATCACTATCTTGATACTTCAACCTGAGGGCTCTTGGAGAGTCCCATCCTACAGAGAAGCCGCTCCACCCCAAGGTCCTTACTATCACAGAAGGCGGCTCCCTAACGCAGCCATGCTGGGAGGAATCAAGCATGGCCTCACTTTACAAAAAGCAGGAGGCAGCAAGCCCAGTTTCCTACAGAGGCAGCTGGACTCTTTTCTATACTCTAGTGAAGCAGGACCTTCAGACAGGCCAAAGCTCTTATTTGGCTTACTTGTCACAAAACAAAGAGCTGAGTGGAAAAAGCTAATCCTGGCCTCTGCAGCGTCACCCAGCAGAGAGCAAACACTTCATAAATCTCCCCATCTTCCCACAGCCGCAGCTCCTCTCTTCCCCTCGGCCACTCCTATTCAGGACAGGGACATCTTCTCCAGCTGCTGGGTCTCTGATGATCATGCAGTCTTTCAGAATCCAGCTCTCCAACAAAGGATCTGAAGGGACATACATCAGCTAGCTTTTTTGTTTGCCAACAACACCTGCCAACTGTGGAGAGGAAAGGCACTGGGAGACTCTGCTGGGCACACAGAACAGAGGATGGCAAGTCCAGGCTTAACGAAGGGCTGGAAGAAAATGAGAGGCTATGCTACAGGAATCACAGGGACCAGGACAGGAAGAGTCTTGTGAATGTACCAGGACTGTGAGGGATGACCTACAACCTTCCCTCTACGTCTGCCTCTCCTGCTTCCATCTGTCCACCCTCGTTTCACTCAGATGCTTACTAATGACTCACAACGCTAGGCAGTAATATACGGATTAGCTGAGCTCAGGCCATAGCTGGCCTGTCTGACCTGAGGCAGGAAGACGGAGGATCTGATGTGGCTGAGAGACCATTTCCCAAAAGGAAATCGGGGGAATGGCCGCTGGCCAGTCAATATTAACTAACACCCATAACAAGGAAACAAAGTATTTAGTTAGAACAGGAAGGAATTGAGGCCAGTTACACTCTCTGTTTTGGGACAAATTCCAGGTATATATCCATCTGTTATTGTTCAAGGATGAATAAAAAGGGGGAAAATACTTGGACTTATAGGGTGCAACATAAAGAATGCAGAACTGAGGGCTAAAAAACAAGCAAACAAAAACAGTTAAAACCATGCATTCAAAGGCAGAAAAGAATACGTTTCATAGCCCAGAGAACTGAATCTGAGGTGGGGGAGAAAAAGAACCCTTAAGAAAAATCTCCCAGGGGGCGCCTGGGTGGCTCAGTGGGTTAAGCCGCTGCCTTCGACTCAGGTCATGATGTCAGGGTCCTGGGATCGAGCCCCGCATCGGGCTCTCTGCTCAGCAGGGAGCCTGCTTCCTCCGCTCTCTCTGCCTGCCTCTCTGCCTGCTTGTGATCTCTCTCTGTCAAATAAATGAATAAAAAAATCTTTGAAAAAAAAAGAAAAATCTCCCAAACACAGTAAATATAACAAAGAAATAAAAAAATGCATGCGCAAAGGAGAGACTCAATAACTAGAAAATTCAATCTCCAAAGAAAATAAAAACAGTACATAGTAAAAGCAGAACACATTAGCCGAAGATATGTTTGAACTGACAGACGGAAAATTTAGTAACAAGTAATACCTAGATACGTGGTCAAAATTTAGAATTTTATGGATAAAATTTTAAAAATCCTAAAAATGTCTGAGCGGGGAGGTGGAGGGGAAGGTTATCTTCACTGAAGCAATATATTAAAAAGCTCTTTTAAGAAAGAAAGCATATATTTTATAGTTAAATTCTTTTATTAGAAGATGAAGACTCGGGGAGCCTGGGTGGCTCAGTGGGTTATGCCTCTGCCTTCGGCTCAGGTCATGATCCCAGGGTCCTGGGATCTAGCCTCACATCAGGCTCTCTGCTCAGCGGGGAGCCTGCTTCCCCCTCTCTCTCTCTGCCTATTTATGATCTCTCTCTCTCTCTCTCTCTGTCAAATAAATAAATAAAATTGTTAAAAAACAATAAAATAAATAAAAGATGAAGACTCTCCGGATGACTTCGGAACTAAAATCTATATTGAGTGTCCAAGAGTAAGGCTCAAAGTGATAAAAGTTAAAATAACAAGAGCTTTTAATATTTATTAAGGACTTCAAATACACCAGGCATTGGGCTAAGCATTTATTTGTATTCATTCAATCCTCATAAAAACCAAATAAAATATGTCCCAATATTATATCCACTTGACAAACGAAAAAAAAAACAAGGCACAGAGAGATTAGGTAATTTGCCCAAAGTTCACACAGTAGATGGGAGTTGTCAGAATTTGAACCCAGGTATCCTGGTTCCAGGGCTCAGCCATTTGAACAGCTGTTCTAAATGAATTCTCTTTAATGTAAAAAGGACAGTAGAGATCAGGCAAACCCCAACAAACTACAAGTGAGTGGTAGTAACAGTAATTTTAGTTATTAAAAAGAGAAAAGATAGTTATTTATTAATGGTGAGAGTTAGAATTTATGATCAAAAAAAGAAATAGCCCAAGAGAGTCCAAACCTTATAGCCCCATTGTAGATGTTCAAGAAACAGATGCAGAATGAACGACAGAATGAGCTAATAAGCAAAGACCGGGCATGAATCCTTATGTACTGAATTTAAAAAATAATAAAATCCCTAAAAATAAAAGTCAACAGGGGAACAGGGACAAAAAATAGGTACAGTCACTTCTGCTATAAATGCTTGCTTCAAAAACAAAAATTTACTCCAAAGTGAATGACTATATCAGGGAGCAAATTTTGTATTGCTTAAGTGAAATTTTGTCCCTGAGAAACAATAAAAGAAGGCAGAAAACTGCACCCAGCTGAACCAGCCACAAAGGGACACCTAAGACAGACAGACAGACAGACAGACACACACACATACACACACACACACACACACGTACACACGTGCCTCCAAGGTCTACCAGCTACCTCAGTTCACTGCCTGTGTTCACGACCATCCACATATGCCAAAAAACTTTGTCAAGTTTCAGATAACCCACTTTCTACTACTTTGCACTAACTCACAATCTGTACCACTTTTGACACCCAGGTCTACAAGCAAATCTCAGGTCTTTTATTGTAGCATTTACGTATTTCTAACCACCTAACATATATAAAACTCTACCAGCATCTTCATTGTGTTCGCATCTCGTGTGTGTGTGTGTGTGTGTGTGTGTGTGTGTGTATCACTAGCAAAGTTTATGAATGCTGTGCCCTGTCAAGATGAAAAAAAAAAAAAAGGTCTGATGGATAATGATCAAAAACCAATTCTCCCCAAATTATCTTTAAATGTTTGTGTCAACTTCCATCAAAATCCCTTTCTTTTCTGATATGGTAGGAAGAATTTAACAAATTAATTTTAAAGCTCCTTGGGAAAATTAAGAGGTCATTCATTAAAGGAATTTTTCAATAAAGAAAGACAAGGGGAGATTTAAACTATCTGTTAATAAAATAGATCTTAAAGCCACAACAATTAGAATCAAGCAGAAAAGTCCATGAAAAAGGTCAGAAAACCCAGAAATCAATGCATATTTAAATACAATAAAGACCGGCACTTCAAATCAGTAGGGAAAAAAATGGACAATTTACATCTTAGGGCAGCAGCAGAGCACAGCATGGGAGGGAATGGCCTGTGGGGTTGGACAGGCTGCCTGGATGGCACACCAGCCAGGTGCGTCCCAGCTGGGTGACCCCAGACGACCAGTGTCTTTATCTGTGAAACGAGGACAGTCATTGTACCTACTTCACAGAACTGCTGCGAGGATTATCAGTTATCATTTGTCAAGTGCTCAGAACAGCCACTAAAACAGTAAGTGCTATATATGTGATATTAAATAAATAAAAGAAAGCAGTTCATGCTATGATAATCCTTAACCTCTTGGGAACAGAGGGGAGGGAGACATGGGGAACAGAATCTACCATCATACCACATTAAAAAGATAAATTTCAGCATTTTAAAAATTGAATGATAAATTAAACTGGGGCGGGGGGAGGACTGTTCATTTGATCTTTAGATTGGGAAAGACCTTTTAAAATAGGACAGTAAAGCATTAAGAAAACAGATTAATATGTTCGATTACGTAAGAATTTTTAAGTCTGTATATCAAACACTAATAAGTAAGAAAATAACTTGAGGGAAAATAAGGGTTGATGTACATGCATATAAACTTACAAATGGGTAAGAAAAAGTATACTATGGAGCAATTCACAAAAAACTTAGCCTGTATATAAGAGAAAATATGCAACATTTATCAGTAATCAAAAATTCAAATTAAAATATTTCAACCATCAAATTGGTTAAAGTTTAAAAAAAAATTATATTGGAGGCCAACTAGGCAGAGACATTGGTACAATTCTATATGGAAGATAGATGAATACTCTGAAACAATCTTTCCAGGGGTCACTTTGATTATACGCTTCAAAAGCCATTTAAAATATTGAGCCCCTTTGACCTAGTAATTCAATTTCTGGGACAAAGGTGGAACACAGGATTTCAATAGAAAGTTTCAAGTCACTTTTTCAGAGATGAACCAGAAACAAGGAAAAAAGGATGTGAAGACATATTTTAAGTTTCAGATAATAAGGCTAAGAATTTTTACCTTCTAAAAATTCAACACTTCAGTGTATAATTAATGTTTAGTATTACCAAATTGCAAAAACAAAAACACAAAGAAAACAAAAAAACAAAAAACAGTTTTAAAACAAACCTTTTAATAGCATCCTTCTTCGGCTTATCTATAGTATCCCACCACTTTGAAAGGTAAGAAATCTCAGACCACATAAATTTTCTCCGTGAGTCTTCTTTCAGCTTGATGACCATGTTATTAAAAATATACTGAGTCATCTCTCTAAAGTAGTCATCAAAAGTCTTCAACCAACCTAAATCAAGACACAAATATACAATAAAGGTCTGATTCATATGTCTGATTTCAACTCAGTCACATTCCATTGCATCACCTTTGGAAGCCCTTAGATATTTCGTTCATATGAAGACACATTTAAAAATTTCAGAAATGTTTCAAGTAATGAAATTCCATTTCAATGGACATAAAACTCAAAAAGTCACTGATGACAAGAATACTCTGAAAACTGCAAAATTCAGATAGAAATGAGGAAAAAATGAGAAAACGACCTGAGGACAAAAAGTATTTATTTATGCTTAATAACTATGGTATCAAATTCAATTACTTATATCTATCTCTAATTTAAGGAATTTGCTTTAATTTTAAAAATCTGAACAGCATTAACAAGCTGGTACTACTCATAATGTGGGACGAAAACTGTATCCTTTCATATGACATCTGAAATTTCCTACCCATTTTAGTAAGTTAAATCAAGAAAAAGAAAATCACAAGAATAAACTGTATCTAAAAGCCAGAAGCAAAGTAGTAAGGTAATTAAGAGCCCTATTATGAATACAGAGAAGTAGAATTCTGCCAAGAACGGGCATTAGTTTCCAAAGGCTGTAAATTACTCCATTTTTTGGAAGCACAAACTGACACTAATCAAACACCACAAGTGTATACATGTACGTCAGGTCTTTTTCAAAAGAAAATTGCAGATACTGAGGACTTAGTTCTTGGACTTTTCTCAAATATCCTGGAAATTTTATCTAAAGATACTTGCAATTTCACCATGAAGAAACATCATTTTATAAGATTTTATTTGCCAGAGAGAGAGAGAAGAGACCACAAGCAGGGGAAGCAGCAGGCAGAGAGAGAAGCAGACTCCCTGCAGAACAGGGAGCCCGATGTGGGGCTTGACCCCGGGACCCTGGGAGCATGACCTGAGTCAAAGGCAGAGACTTAACTGGCTGAGCCCGCAGGCGCCCCATTACTATAAAGAAACATTTTTAACAAGACCCATACATCCAAGCATAGCCCTGCCTGTCAGAGCAACATGATGAGCGGCTGAGGCAAAATCATGGCCAGCTATCTACTGGCCAAAGAGACCCTTCAGAGAACCACCTCTTATCTCTCAAATCTTACAGAGGTAGGAGTTTCTACACATCCAGGCTAAATGACTTCTTTATTTTTTCCAAACCTCAAACGTGTGGGACGACTAAAATATTAAGGGGTCAATGGGTTAGTTCTTTTTGTCTATAATTAATATCTAAAATATACTATATTGGCTGGAAAAATATTAAAATCTGCTAGGACAGATAAGACAATACAACGATTTTGACAATGAGCTTCTGAAAAGGGCACTGCCACTATGACTATATTTCTCCCTTTTAACTAAAATCTATTCATTCAATACATAGTTATTTAGTGAGCATGTACAAAATGACAGGTTTGAATGCAGTGTAAAATATTCTTTACAGGACTTTCTTGATCTGGGACACTTTTAAGTACTTTTAAAGTCACCAAAGATACTACGTGGATAATTCAACTTTTCTATGTTCAAACAAAAAGCTTGTACATACAGAAAATTCAAAGATAGCTCACTAAATAGTGGTTTGCAAAGAATTCCATTTTGCTTGGCTAAGGTACAAACCTGGATTCCTGCCCCAGAGCACAAAGCCAAGATCCACATCTGGATTCCCAAAGACAAGCAAAGAATATCCAACCTACCCCTAGAATGCTCTGACTGCTGAGCCCACCAGGTCAACATCCAAGACAAAAAAAAAAAAAAAAAAAAATCAAGTGCTCAGACCTGAGCCCAGGATATAACACAGGACTTGATAAATACTAGTTACTATTATTTTATCATCTTCATCAGTCTTTAATTGCCCCTCCCCCATCTCTACAATCAAAACGGGTAAAAGAAGAAATAAAAGATATTTCTAACATCTAAATTTTGAAAAGTACACATTTATTTAAAACATTTAAATCAGCTGTTCCACATCTTAAACATATTGGTGACCCAAAACTTTGGTTTACAAAGAATTCATTCTATGGCCCTGTTATGGGCTGAATTATGTCCCCTCAAAATTCCTATGTTGAAGTCCTAAACCTCCGTACCTCAGAATGCAACTGTATCTGGAGAAAGGGTTTTTCAAGAGGTGATTAATGTATAATAAGGTCATGAGGGTGGGTCCTAATCCAATGTGTCGTTACAAGAAAAAGCAATAGGACACAGATGCACACAGAGGGAAGACCAGACGAAAATAGAGGGCTATCTGCAAACCAATACAAGAGGCCTTTGGAAGAAACCAACACTGCTAACACCTTGATTTTGGACTTCCAGCTTCCAGAACCGTAAGGAAATGATTTTCTGTCACTTAAGCCACCCAGTCTGTAGTACTTTGGGATGGCAGCCCCAGCAAACTAACTTAGCCTTAGGACAAATCAGTATTGTTACCATCCAAAAAACAAAAATTAAGATGTGGAGAGAATTTATTTTACCAAGTACCATCATAATATTTAATTTAACACATATCTACCTACATATTGCAAGACTCAGCTAAAATCATATGTATGTAAGTAACATGTACTTCTGCACCACATTATTCCTATAGAGGTGCAGTAAGGACCATGTAAGTTCTTGAAATGTCTCTGTGAAAATTAGTCTTTAAGACATCACACATAACTTTGACCTGAATTTCAACAAAGGTCAAAGCTAAGCCCTAATTATTTGGCTATTAACTCAATAAAAGAAAAGAACTATGAACAACAGAAGGACTCCAAAATTAATTTAATAATAAAACTCTGGTAATCTAGCATAGAAAGCAAATTTAGAAGAAATCGTCTTTATGAAGATGAAAAAGTAACAGGTTTTTTTTTCTTTTTTAAGTATAATTATGTGTTTTCATCGGTTATAATTTATTATTAGCTAAGACCCTTTCAAAGAATAGTTTATCACAGTTTCATAAAGAAATCACAGTGACTGATTAATCCATTTTGCCTTCAACACTTCATCTGCCCTTCAACAATTACGCAGAAAATATGTCAAAGATATTTACGTGAGCCAAAATACATGCTCAGAGATGTCAACTTAAAAGCCTTCCATAAAACTCATCTATAATAGATACTAATATCACTACAATATAGCACAATTAATGAAGAATGAACTAAAAGATAGCCTCTTGCAGCTTTCAATATTGAGTAATATAACAGTAAATTAGCTTTTATTGCTCTTATACAATAGAGTAATCAAGTATTCCCTCTATACTGAATTGGCTCTTTCTTTTCCTCAATTACTATAAAACTACAATTGTATATTAACGTGAGACCAATCAGAAAGATAGTATTTTATGAAAAGTTGTATGGGACGATTTTCTGTGACATAAAATTATATTCCTACCTCTGGATTTAATAATCTTAGGACATTCAGTAGCAAACTGATTTACTTAAGTGGTCAATTCACAGTCTTTTTCTTTCCCTTGAATACACTTGGAAATTGAACCAGGGCTAGAATAGCACGAAGAATACCTTTCCATTTCCTCTTTTTCCCCTCTAACAACACTCTAACCCATAAAACAGCTAATCACCATTTTTTAGTAAGTGGGGAAATATCTGAAACGAAGAATACATAATTAGAAGTTCTATAAGGCAGGCATAACTCCAAATTCGCTATCACTATTTTATCATAAAAAAGTTCTACAATGTAAAGCCTAATAAAGTTGACAACTCCACTGCTTATTTTTAATGCGTATGGACAATTAAGCACCTCGTGGCTGTTCACTGACAAAACACAATTTTTTAAAATTTGACTCCTGATCTAGCTTCAAAGTCCAAAGACACTTTGTGGGGCTCTCATCCTCAGAAGGAACACTCAGTTTTATTTGGTTCAAGGGCATACACAGCACCCATTTAAGACCTGGGCAAGGGGATCCCTTCCTGAGCCCTGGACACTTGAGGGATCGTCCCATTCTTCCTCTGACCACACTCCTTTCACACAGTAAATTCCCAAAGCAAAGAACCTCCCCACACAGAGCCTGCCCTGATCTGCCCTCTCGAGTACCAGGGCCCAGAAATTTGTGTTCAGATGGCCCCAAGACAGTTTCTAGAACCCACCAGGGGCCTTCAATAGGACAGTCAGCCTACAGGTGGTAACCTGCCTAGCCTGAGCAATGGGCAGGGCAGATGTAGTTTGCAGAGGTATGGGAAGAGTCCTGGGGTGTGTGCAAGCAAAGGAGGGCAAGTTTAGGACAGGGCCATTTCTAGGAGATGGGACTGGGCTACCAGAGGCTGGCTCTTTCCACACACACCAACACATTCCAGTGGAGAACTGGAGCCTGATGCATCTCAACCCACGCCCAGCCTTCCTGATAACGGTTCTGTTTCTCAAGGGCGGAGGAAAAGACCTATTTTTATTTAGCAACGTATCAATGTGATTTATGACTTTTAAATGTTTATACAAAGGGTCTGAGGGCTTCCAGGTATTTCTGCCCCAATTCCTACAAATTTAAGAACCTATAACCTGAACTTCAAAGCAGTCAATTCTCATGAAGCCGGCACCTGGTATGAAGCTTACACTGTCAAGAATTCAGTAAGTATGTGATAGATGAATGAAATGTATGGCCGAAAGGATGGGGGGGGGGAGGGGAAGGTATATGAAGTATAAATGTAAGTTTATTCCTCCAACTAGAAATGAAACCAAAAGGAAAAGACACGGCACACATACACAATTAGCTCTAACGCATTCATTGTCTGTTCTGATGCTAACCTAATAATCTTTGGCCATTGTCTTTTAAGGCTGTATTTTATATTTAGAAAAAGCTATGTCAGCCCTAAGATGATTTAAAACATACATCCCAAAGAGGGCATGCCTCTCAAATCAATGCTACACTGTTGTGATTTTAACTGCTACGATGATTTTTTTAATGACTATATTTATTCTACTCAAAGTTAAATAGGTGCCAACTGTTAAGAACACGTAAGAAATTTTGAGTCAAAAATAATTATATCCAGATAATAAACACACAAAAACTACAA